CGTGCTGGAGACACAGGTCCCATTCTTCACCATTCAGAAGCTGCAACACAAAAAAGATTTACTTCAGGAAATAATCCTCACTATGATGTGTCTGTTTAATTTGTCAGTTTAGAAACATCTGTATTATAATCTCAGTGGTTTCATACTGACTATTTTATTTCAAAATAGCAGGTTCAGTGATAAACTTATCCAGGAGTTCAGTCAACAATCATGGTTGCTTAAATGTCAAAAAAAGAGGCACCAATGTTCTTCAAGACATTAGAAATTTAACTGACGGTACCCCTAATCGTGCTGGAGAGACAGGTCCCATTCTTCACCATTCAGCAGCTGCAACACAAAAAACAAATACTTCAGGAAATAATCCTCACTATGATGTGTCTGTTTAATTTGTCAGTTTAGAAACATCTGTATTATAATCTCAGTGGTTTCATACTGACTATTTTATTTCAAAATAGCAGGTTCAGTGATAAACTTAACCAGGAGTTCAGTCAACAGTCATATCAATGTACTGCAAGACATTACAAATTTAAATCACCGTTCAACTCCACTAGATCACATATCTAATCTGCTTGAGACACAAAAGACAGCATCAAATCAACGAAATTCATGTAAGAAGTAGAACTGCTCATTATTCTTTACCACTCTTATAGCAATCCTTAACTTTATTCCAACTATTGTGAGACTGTTTTTCTAGCAAATCCATATGGTTTGGGGACGTCATGCCTAACCAATGCCAACCAAACAATACACCTCAAAGCTAACAATTTACCAAGGAAAAACTTATGTGCTGCTTTTGAAAATGCTTATCTCTCTACTGATTTTCAAGGTATAAGTCTATTATCTTCATGCAATATACACTAAATTTGCTGGTTATTGAATTAACAATGAAAATAATTTCGTTGAAATTGGTTTAAATAGGCCACAGATCTACTTCAAACCTCAATGATGGAACTACAGATGAATAAAGTATGCACCACAGCGAAAATGACAGCTTCTATGCAAGTGAAACAGATGTGGAACAAGAATACTATTTGAGTCAATCAGAATACGAAACAGAAGATGATACAAGTGATGCTATCATGATAGTTCGACCAAAGGATTCTATAGTAGATTCTGCTAACGTGGAGGAACCTGTCATCACAGAAGAATGTAAAGCAGCACAACAACATGTTAAGTTCATGTCCTCACTTCAGAAATTAGTCACGAGAACAAAACAGAATGTTGGAGTACAAGAAAAAGTACCAAGCAGAAATAAAGGAGGACGGCCAAGATTACAAAGCAAAGCAAGCACGTCTACAAGCAGCTCCACCAAAACAGGTACACTCATATAAATAATTAGAGATTTCATTCAAATCATATAATCATGCTAATGTTAATCTCATTTACAGTTTATCTTGACCATGGTGATGCAACATACAAATGTAAATATTGTGGCGCTCTAATGTGGTATGATGAGCGTATTAACAAGAGACGCAACCATGAGGAACCTACGTTCACACTATGTTGTGGACAAGGACAAGTTAAACTGCCTTTTCTTAAAGACTCTCCAGATTTGATAAATAAACTTCTAAGTGGTGATGATGCTCTCAGTAGACATTACAGGGAGAATATGCGAATCTTTAACATGATTTTCGCAATGACATCACTTGGTGGGAGGGTAGACAAATCTGTCACACAAGGGAAAGGACCTACAAACTTCCGCTTGCAAGGGGGAAACTATCACCTTATTGGTAGTTTAAAGCCTGACTTAGGTGATTATGCAAAATATTCACAGCTCTATATAGTGGACACTGAAAACGAAGTACAGAACAGAGCTACTATAATCAGGTACTGAAACTACTTTTAAAGCTAATGTTTACCTGTTTACCTAAATTGCTTAACTCATCAGTTAACCATCTTATTGTAGCAAGGGAAACTCTCAAGCACCAAATACTGGGAAAAAACAACTTAAAAAAGAGGTTATAGAAGCACTTATTAAGATGCTAAACGACCACAATCCGTATGTGAAGATATTCAGGTCCGCCAGAGAGAGGTTTGAATCTAATAATGATGAGCCGTTTCACATGCGTATTGTCGCAGATCGCAAGGGTGTAGATGGGAGGACATACAGTATGCCTACTACATCAGAGGTGGCTGCTCTAATTCCCGGAGATTTTGTGAAACAGATGCCTGACCGTGACATTGTTTTACAAGAAAAGAGTACTGGGAAATTACAGAGGATCAGTCAAATTCATATTTCATACTTAGCACTACAATATCCCCTTATATTTTGCTATGGTGAAGATGGATATAGGCCAGGAATAGAGAAATGCGTGATACCAGCAAAAACAAAGACGAAGAAGAATAAGAAGAAATCTATTAGCATGAGACAGTGGTTTGCATTTAGGATACAAGAGAGGGAAAACGAGAGCCATACTTTGTTACGTTCAAAGAGGTTGTTTCAGCAGTTTCTTTGTGATGCTTATACCACCATTGAATCAAACCGGCTATCGTATATCAGATTCAATCAATCAAAGCTTCGTTGTGAGAATTTAAACTCAATCAAAAAGGCAGCTGAATCAGGAACAACTTCTATGGGTGAAGAAGGTAACCAAATTCTGATTCCTTCTTCTTTCACTGGTGGTCCTCGATATATGGTTCAGAGTTATTATGACGCAATGGCAATTTGTAAGCATTACGGATTCCCGGACCTATTCATCACGTTCACATGTAACCCTAAATGGCCAGAGATAACAAGATATTGCCAAGCACGAGGGTTAACAGCTGACGATAGACCGGATATTGTAGCAAGGATGTTTAAAATAAAGCTGGACTCCCTCATGAGAGATCTAACAGAAAGGAATTTTCTGGGGAAGACAGTGGCATGTATGCGCTTGCCCATTTTTATTTTACATTCTTATACTTCAAATTTATACACAAGTTATTCTAATATGGATCTTCATGTATTGCAGCTATGTATACAGTAGAATTTCAGAAAAGAGGATTACCACATGCTCACATTTTGTTATTCATGGATGCTAAGAGTAAACTGCCTACAGCAGACGACATCGACAAGATTATTTCGGCTGAGATTCCAGACAAAGAAACGGAACCAGAACTCTACGAAGTAGTTAAAAACTCTATGATACACGGACCATGTGGTGCAGCAAATCCAAAATCTCCGTGTATGGTTGAAGGAACCTGCTCAAAGCAATATCCTAAAAAGCATCAAGAGATTACTAAGGTTGGTAGTGATGGTTACCCTATCTATAGGAGAAGAGAAACTAATGATTTTGTTGAGAAGGGTGGCTTCAAATGTGACAATAGGTATGTGGTTCCATATAACAAGAAGTTGTCGCTACGATATCAGGCTCATATTAACGTAGAATGGTGCAATCAGAATGGATCTATAAAATACTTATTCAAGTATATAAACAAAGGTCCTGATCGGGTAACATTCATTGTCGAGCCTGTTAATCAGCCTACGACTAATTCAAGTGCCACAACAGAGCAAGAATCAAGTCCAACTGAGAAAAAGAAGAACGAAATCAAAGACTGGTATGATTGCAGGTACTTATGTTTAAATCTCAGTATAAAGTATTTTTATGTTTACATTTGTGGGTAGTTTAACTGAATCTCTTTGTTTATATCTGTAGATATGTTTCAGCCTCAGAGGCGATTTGGAGAATTTTCAAGTTTCCCCTACAACATAGATCTACACCAGTTCAGAGGTTGTCTTTTCATGATGAAGGGAAGCAGCCTGCTTATTTTGATTCAAAAGCACACATTGATGATGTCCTTGAACGTATATCCAACCAAGATTCTATGTTCATGGCTTGGTTAACATTGAATAGGAATAATGCTATTGGGAAGAATGGAAAACGTGCAAGAGACCTTCTATATGCTGAAATTCCAGCTTATTTTACTTGGGATGGAACCAATAAGAAGTTCAGTAAGAGATCAAGAGGTTTTTCATTGGGTCGTATTAACTACGTTCCTAGGAAAATGGAAGATGAATACTATCTTCGGGTGCTGCTGAATATTGTCAGAGGTCCAATGACATTTGACGATATCAAAAAATACAATGGTGTAGTATATAAAACTTACAAAGAAGCATGTTTTGCACGTGGAATTTTGGATGATGATCAAGTGTTCATAGATAGTCTACTCGAAGCTGGGCAGTTTTGTTTTGGGGACTATCTGAGAAATTTTTTTGCAATGCTGATTTTATCAGATTCTCTAGCTAGACCGGAGCACGTATGGGCAGAGACGTGGCAATTGTTAAGCCAAGATATTGAGAAAAAAAAGCAAGAAGACTTCAATAACCCATGTAAGGATAATAATATACTAACGTGTTCATTCTATTTGTAGCTAACGTAAATATGTTTGATTTTAACGATTTAATACGCTTACTTTCATTTTAAATGTCTCCACAGATCTGACACTAACGGAAGCTGAGATGAAGAACTACACTCTTCAGGAAATAGAGAAGATTATGTTGTTCAATGGTGGAACACTCAAAGGCATTGAAAATTTTCCTCAGCCCTCAAGAGAAGGTATAGACAACTCCAACCGATTAATTGTTGATGAGATGAGATATAATCGAGACGACTTGGAAGAGAAACATTCTGAATGGGTTCAAAAGCTAACAACTGAACAGAGAGGTATATACAACGAAATCACAGGTGCTGTATTCAATGATTTAGGCGGTGTTTTCTTTGTATACGGATTTGGAGGAACAGGGAAAACATTTTTATGGAAAACACTTGCAGCTGCTATTAGATCTAGAGGACAGATTGTGTTAAATGTGGCATCGAGTGGTATAGCATCTTTGTTGTTAGAAGGAGGAAGAACAGCACACTCTAGGTTTGCAATTCCGTTGAATCCAGATGAATTTGCTGTTTGCAAAATTAAGCCAAAATCTGATTTAGCTTCTTTGATTCAAGAAGCCTCACTTATTGTCTGGGACGAGGCGCCTATGATGAGCAAATTTTGTTTCGAAGCT